AAAGCAAGCTCCAAAATTTGATTTTATGTGTTCTCATATACGTATGAGAAAAACAAAAGAAAAAAAGAAAAAAGAAAAAAGGAAAAGCGCATCTTTTTCCTCTTACCACTGCCACCATTTAATGGAATAATTTATGAAGTCAGCAATAGTGCAAAAATACTTACAAGACCTTAGTCTTAAACTTAATTCAGGCTATTTTAATACCACACCAAACGTAATGATAAATACATTTCCCTTTTGAGTAAGTTTCGTTCTTTGAGTACTGAATTTCATTAACAAAACAAATAACCCCGAAAAATTAATGACCATACTACTGTTCCTAAGAAGATAAAAAAAATTCTTGTTTCTGAACGTTTCGTTTCCATAAAAAAATCTTGTTCTTTAATTCAATTTTTTCCTATACCTCATTCATGACTTTTTAAACCGAAAAAAAGGAGGTTTGCCAGAGTTCCTGGATTTTCACCTTTTATCGCTAAAAGCCTTCTTAAAAGGATTTCGGGACTGAAAAGAATTGTAACAGTGAAAGCAGTTCACGCTTTTCTAAATTCATCTGAAACCTCTTTTTAACCCTACCTAGTCTCTAGAAACTTTAATAGAGAGTATAAACGATTGAGTTTAAGAAAAAATGATCCTAGTCCTTTAAAAAAAAATCTTTTATAAGGCTACGAAAATTAGATTTTCAAATTGTTAAAACCAATTGAAATAAGTTTCGACTATTGTATATAAATTATTTATTTTAAGATGGATACATTCTTATAATTTTCATTCTAAAATTACTGGAGAATAACCGGCAGCAATCTGTCCATCCAATTAACTGCAAAGTTAACGGTTAGGAACATTTCTTTACCTTTACAGGTTTGAAACAGTTCGGTGGTAAGGTTAAAAACCCGTAAATACAAAATTACACTGCTTTTTTTAACCATTTATCACTATTTATATACATTCTTATAATTTTCATTCTAAAATTCGGTAAAATTACCGGCAGCAATCTGTCCATCCAATTAACTGCAAAGTTTACGGTAAGGAACATTTCTTTACCTTTACAGGTCTCAAATAGTTTAGTGGTAAGGTTAAAAATCCGTAAATACAAAATTACACTGTTTTGTTTAACCATTTACCACTAACATGGTTTTAAAAATTTTAAGATAAAATGTTAAGAAAATGTTGTTAAGAAAATTCAGTGGTGCTGCTATCTGTGAGTATTCCAATTGTCTAGGGTAAAAAAATTGAAGAGTGGAGGACACTGGAAACTCTTTATGTATATATAAGATGTGGAATAATAGTTTAAATCATCCAAAATGGTTTTGTGTTAAGAAAATTCAGTGGTGCTGCTATCTGTGAGTATTCCAATTGTCTAGGGTAAAAAAATTGAGGAGTGGTGGACACTGGAAACTCTTTATGTATATATAAGATGTGGCATAATAGTTTAAACCATCCAAAGTGGTTTTGTGTTAAGAAAATTCAGTGGTGCTGCTATCTGTGAGTATTCCAATTGTCTAGGGTAAAAAAATTGAGGAGTGGAGGACACTGGAAACTCTTTATACTCGTAGGGGAAAGGAATGGATGTAATTTTGAAGTGTCAACGATGGGACTCGTACCCCTGGTTTGTCAGTTATGAGATTGACAGACTAGCTCCTTCTGCCAAAGTATGTACTCATCTGCAAGGAACTAAGTGGTCCCTTATGGTGTTCACCACATACGTATTACTATAGGATTATTATGCGTTCGCTATTGTGTCAGGAATCCAACGACAGAAAATAAAAGTTTAAATTCGCAATACTTATCACATGGCTTAGCTTCCAGCTTTCTAGAAACCTGCGCTTGATTTTCCTTGACTGTGAGTTTAGTTGGAGAGGATAAAATTCTGGTCGTTTATTTGTTAGGCAAAAAGAGCCAATTAAATGATTTTTCTCACAGTTAACCGTTTGAATACCATTCTAGTTTGGTTATTTTACATTTTTGTGGTTAAATATGATAGAATAACAAATAAACAGTTATTCAAAAATTTTTTTGGAACCATTTTTAACAGTGCTGAAATGTCTTTATTTTTTATTGGTTTGTGAGTATTTAAATAGGTGGGCTGCTTTGTAATGATTACTCATATGTATATATATATATATATATATATATACACAGTCCAGTCANTTTATATACAGAGAGAGAGAGAGTGAGAGAGAATAATGTATACATTAGTGTTTTCAATATAATATTTAAACGGAGAAAAAGCATACATTTAAATCTGACTAAGAAAGTCAGCATTGAAAACACCAAAACCTGTTTGATTGCTAAAGAGAGCAGAAGGAAGTTGAATGATGATTTTTTAGAAATAGCTACTCGTTTTGCCAACCAATTGAACCTTATACCCTCCACCGTCCTTAGTACTGATTTGAAGGATGTCCAAAGCATTTTATTGTTTCTTTCTCACTTCACTTCTAATTTGCTTTAAAATATATACTTTTTTTCTACTTTATCTTTGATACAGGATATGCGTAGCATGTTAAAGACGGTAATTACGCTACGCCATAAAGGTTGTATTGTAACTTGGACATATGTAAAAGACTTATAGATAAATTGCAGTCTATTTTCAAGGCTATTTTCAGGTTGATGTTATTTTCATAATTTTATTTCGAGAACATGAAACAGCTTTTTCCATCTATAGAGATTAGAAACGAAAACGAGAAATACGGTTGGTTTAATTTTGGCTCAAAACGGTACATTTTATTTTGGCTCAGATGAAACAGGTTTAAAATCACAGTGCACGTACTATATTAGACTGATCTTATATATTTTTTCGTGATTAAATTTATACTCACTGTGATTTTATTGCAGTATAAATTTTAGACTGCCATGCCATAGTATATCTTTAAAGTCCAGAACTAATCTGATGTTTGTTTTTACTTACGTGAAGTATGGGTTTATATTTCTTATCAATAAAGATACATACTAAGCAAGATCCCGTAATATAGTGATTTTGTGAAATAATATTTCAAATTGACATCAGAATGTGATTAGATCGACATTTCATATTGTTTAGCGAGTAAGTTTACACGAAATGATTATTTACATTATTCATATTATTTTTTGATAAAAGTATTTATAAGTTATTTAATTCCAGAAAATCAATACGTTTTATTTTTGAATAGGTTTTATGCAAACTATCTGTTCTCTATTTTTTTAATCAATTTTCTGATGAAATTCTTGAAATTTGTTTTTGCATAAAAGCATGATTCAACAGAATTTGTTTTATCTTGAAATGAAATACAAATGAAATATGTTTTGTCAACGTATTTTATTCTCTTTGAATGCTAGCATATGAGCCTTTTTTGTTCACTTTATCTGTTGATCTAAAATAAAATGCTTTTCCATCTTTTTTTCAGTTTTATTTTGTTCGAAATACATACAATTTTGCTTTAAATAACGTAGCTTATATTTTTCTGCTTTCTTAAAATAAAACTTAGTTTTGATTTTAAAAGGAGGAATGAAAGAAAAGTGGAATCGAGCGAATATTTTTTTTCTTTTCTAAGGAAATTGATTTTTTTTTCTATTTTAGAAAACACTATTTTCTACGAAATATTGAATTCTAAACAAAGTTTTTAAAAGTATTTTATAAAGAAAAGAAAGTTGAATGTACGTTTTAAAAAAGAAAACAAGAGACACTGATTTATATGAAATTCGATTTTAAAACTATTAAAAATTGAATTATCGAATGATTAAAAGTTTTAGCATTTATTTTTTGTGAGTATAAAATCCAAGCTATATTCTGAAATTTCTAAATATTCTCTAATGCTGGTTATACATTATAAATAAACAATTTTTATTTATTTATTTAAGTACTGAAATTGATTCTTCAGCATTTCGACAGCATTTTCATCTTTATTTCGCGACTTTATTTTAAAATGAAAAGGACATTTAAAAATAAATATTAATGTGAAGAAGAAATATTTTTGTTACTGCATTTGAAAAGCATTTTTTCTAAACTTACACTCTACAAAAATTCTGCGAAATTCGGAGTGTTTGCAGTAAATTTGCACAATTATTTCCCATATTTGTTAAAAAGGCCATAATTGTAACGAACTGTAGAAAAACTAGTAGTATCATTTATTTAATTTGCATAGCCAGCTCATTTCCTCAACACAAACCCTAAGTTACCATAATTGTAACAAGCTTCAGCAAACTTAACATAGTTGAGTGTTAATTTATAGCGTGCTTTTATGTAAAGCTTTCTAAAGAAATAAGGAAATAACAACCCTTCTTCTTGCTTTTTAAAGCATCTGACTAAATAATATGCATAGCGGAGGAAGGCTAGCATCCACAGCCATAATGTAAACCAATTCCTCAAAGTTTGGTGGGGTCCTTATGTATAAAGGAAAAAGCAACAATAAGGGACATAGCAGTGGAGGTTCTTGAGACGGGATTGCACTATTAATCCTTTCTAACTACCACAGGGGACGGGTTGGGGATGAAATTTTTTTCTCCCTATTTATTATTGGTTTGTTTTGCATTTTTATACTAAGACAGTACGGTGCTATGGATGGTTGTCCATGTAAAGCCAAGAACAGATGGCGCTAGTCATTAAAGTTTGTCGTAAGACTTCCGGGATACTACTTCTGATTGATTTTTAAGCCTATGTTTGGAAAAGCGTGCTATTTAATATTATTTAACTTGTAGTAACAGTAATATAACGTGCTCTTTCAATTTAACTTTCAACGAAACTGTAATATTTTATGTTGTTGTTGTTGTTACTTATCCTCTAATTGTCTGACGAGGTCAGACAAGATCCAGTAGTTTGTTGTTGACCCTTAAAAAGTCGATTACAAGAAGTGGAGAAGCATATAAGTCCTCCTTGGAAAGGCCCAAGCAGTCGAGGATATGTTCTGCTGAGGCCTGCTGGGCTTCACATTTAGAGCAGACTGCATAAGTCTTTCTTCCTTTAAAGTACGAGAGACTGTTCGTGTGTCCGCTTGCCAGTCTGGAAATAGCTGTTTGAGAAGCTCTATCACCTATATGAACAAGTGAAGAGCCCGGTTCCTTGGCCACATACCAATGATGAGAAAAGGGATCCTCCACTTTTTTGATAGATGGCTTTTGATTTTGGACTGATGCTCAGAAAAGGTAAGGGCTGAGGACGAAGATGCTAAATGACTACAGCCCTCCTTGGCCAAGCGATCCGCTTGCTCATTTCCAAAGATGTCAACGTGGGATGGTATCCACTGAAGATGAACGTCGTGGTGCTTTGAAATAAGTTGAAGTTTAAGAAGGATGGAGATGCTTGTTTTGTCTCCAACTTTAGTCCAGTTGTGTAGGTGTTGAAGGGAGCTGCGACTGTCCGACAGGATCCAAAGATCTCCAAAGTCACTCTCGTTGATTATAGCATCGATGCCCTGTTCAATTGCGATTAATTCACTTCGAAAGACTGAAGTGAAATCAGGATTACGGAGACAGATGGAGTAATTTTGCTCAGATTTTTCAATGAAGACGCCGATACCAGCTTGGTTTCCGAGTCCACTACCATCTGTGTAAATTTTTACGGCGTCACTGGGAATCTCGCCTAAAATTTCCAAAGCTAGCTGCCTAAGTTCAGCTGGTAATATTTTATAATTTATGGAAATGAGGTAAAAATAATCATAAACTTCAACAGTTAATTTCCCACTATAATCTTATAAATAATATAGACATAAAAAAATGTTTTGCTTTCAATCTATGTCTATAAAATAATTTCTGTCTCCTTTTACTTCTCTTTACAATTTCAATCCTATTCCAAAGTACTTTATACTAAAAAATAATTTTAAATTTAATATTTGATAGTTTATGGGAATGAAGTTTAAATTATCAGAAACTTCATCAGTTGATTGTTTACTATGAACTTATCAATAATATAGATTGAGCTTCATCAGCAATTATTTATGGCATAATGTGGCACGTAATGTATGTGTTCTAAAGGATTTCTTTTTAACTTGTTTAAATAAGGTGAATTTTTAACCACTTTATACAAATATTTTTAAATCTTGTTTTTAATTTGATTTATCTCCTCCAACGAAGCGAAATAAATGTAAAATTTTCCTTTTTTCTTACTTTTATAACATCGAGTCATATATATGTCTATTTTTATCATTGTTTTCCTTGGATATTCTGAGCTACTGCAGCAATTACTTAAGATATAGTGAGTTACATAATGAATGCGTTCTAAAGAAATTTTTTTAACTTGTTTAAATAAAGTAAATTCTTAACGACTTTATACAATTGTTGATGTTGATAAATCTTGTTTTTAATTTAATTTTCTTGTCTTCTAACAACTGGAAAAAAAATGTAAATTCATTTTTCTTTTTTTTAATCTTTCCTTTACAGCATCAAGTCACACATATGTCCATTTCTATCATCGCGTTCTTTGAATAATTTGTGCTGGCGCTGCAATTACTCAAGTCATAATAAGTCGCGTAATTTGAGTGTTCTAACGATGTTTTTATTAAATTTTTTATTTTTAACTTGCTTAAATAAAGTCAATCTATTCACTACTTCGCACAAATGTCAATAAATCTTGTTTTTAATTAATTTTTTTCTCTCCATTTAACAGCTTGAAAGAAATGTAAATTTATTTGTCGTTTTTTTTTTCTCTTAACAACATCGAGTCATGCATATGTTTATTTTTTATCATCATGTCCCTTGGATACTCTGAGCTACTGTAGCAATTACTCAAGACATGGCGAGTCACGTAACTTGTGCGCTCTAAGGGATTTTTTTTTAGTTTGATTAAATAAAGTCAACTTTATACCACTTTACACAAATGTCAATATAACTTGTTTTTAATTATTTTTTCATTTACCAACTAGAAAGCAATGTATATTTTTTGTCTTTTTCTCTCTTAACATCATCGAGTCATGCATTTGTTTATTTTTTGTCATCATGTCCTTTGGATACTCTGAGCTACAGCAGTAAATACTCAAGACATAGCGAGTCACATAATTTATGTGTTCTAAGAGATTTTTTTTAACTTGCTTGAACAAAGTCAAATTTTTAACCACTTTATACAAATGTTAATAAATCTTGCTTTTCATTTAATTTTTTTTATCCAACAAAGGGAAATAAATGTAAAAGTGTCTTTATTTTTGCCTTTAATCCATTGAGTGATACACTGGTTATCATAAATTAAGGAAAATTCACAAAAATCGCGATAACTCAAGAAATTACNGTGATATATATGTCTATTTTTATCATCGTGTTCTTTTACTTTGGGGTTAGTGCAGCAATTACTCAAGACGCGTAACAAATCACGTAATTTATTCGTTCTAAAGGAAGTTTCTTTTTAACTTACTTAAATAAAGTCAATTTGTAACCACCTTACACAAATTATGAATAATATGACACAAATATTTATGAATCTTGTTTCCATTTTAATTTTTTTCATCCAACAAAAAATTAAATAAATGTAAATTTATATGTCTTTTTTTTGTAATATGTGTGTTCTAAATGGTTATTCTTTTTAACTTGCTTAAAAGTCAATTTTTTAATCACTTTTTACAAATGTTAATAAATATTGTTTTCATTTTCATCTTTTTCATCAATCAAAATGGAATAAATGCGAAGTTGTCTTTCTTATCTTTCCTTTACAACATCGAATACCATATAAGTCTATTTTTATCATCGTGTTCTTTGGATATACTGAGCTACTCCAGCAATTACTCAAGACATATAACAAGTCACCACAACTATAACCTGGATAAATCGGTACTTTAAGAAGATTGTGTGCTCAATTCTTATTAAGGAAAGAATCATTAGGAAGTCTTCAGAGTTCCTGGTAGATACGAAAATAATCCTCTTATTCTTGTGCCGATTCTGTAAGGTTTTTTATTTCAACCTACCAGCTAGAGTTACATGAGACTTCCATTTTAATGAGTTACCGAGAAAGCCGGGGGAAATGTCTATTTTATATTCTAATTGACATGGTTGCAACGCATGTAACAGAATATATACGGAAGCAAAAAGTTTTCAAAATAAACTGTATGTTTAGAATGGATTTTTAATGAACTTGTTCAGCTTTTGTTTGAAGTATTTATGAAATATTTGCAAATTAATATTCAAAAATTATTTTAAAATATACACAATAAAGAAAACTTTAGGTTTAAATATGAATGTGCAGTTTTACCTTGCAGTCTACGTACGATTACTTACACAAGTATCCACAAAACATTCATTAATGAGTATTTTGTTTTATAACCATAGTTGTACCGTCTACCGGATTTTGAGTTTACGGCTACTGATGATCAACTCCGTAGCCTTGTAATTTTGAACCCAATCCTGAAGACAAGGGAATTCCTGTATCAAATATTGGGAGAAAATTGCTCTCGTAGAGGACTTTCTGATGGAACTAACCAGCATTTGCGTTACATGATGAGGAAAACTACAAAAATCACCAGTGGTTATCCTGATGCCAAGGGGACTCTAGTCCTCGAACCTAGTTCACCTCATTGGAAGGTGAGCGCTTTATCCCCTGTGCCTCCACGGCTCTCGTAAATGAATATCTAAAAAATATTTTACAAAGCATATAATAAAAAAAAAACTTTAAGTTTAATATATAATTACCCATTTTTGCGTGCAATCTGCGCACTCCTATCAACACAAGTACCTATTAAATATTTGTAAATCAATAACTAAAAAATATTTTTATACATATATACATACATATATGACTCCCAGTGGCTGAGTGGTAGCACTTCGAACTGTCGTGCGACAGTTCCTTCGTTCGATCCTCGGGTCGGGCAAGGTTGACTCAGCTTTTCATCCCATCAGTGGGTCGATAAAATGAGTATCAAGCATGTTTGCGAACGAAAACACTGGGGGTTCCGCGCTGCACTGACCACCCAACCCGAACATCTGTTCTTGTACCCCAGAGCCCAAAGGTCAGGAAAACTGAGATGGGCACAATATGCCCTCTAAGGACTGTCATGCCCATAAGTTTATATATATATATATA